GGATCGAGCATTGTTTCGTTCTGCTGTGCATGGGGTCGCTATGAGTCGGTTCCGACTCGATGGCACCTGACAACAACAACAACAACAACGCTACCAGAGCTCCTTGCTTGCTTAAGCAACTGTAAAGATGTGCCGACCATGCCCAGGGCGCATAGCTGAGCAGTGACATCCAAGAAAATGCCATTAAGGAAGACCACCCATAAAAATTCTGTATTTTTACTTCTTTGTGAGATATTTTGCAGGTTGGACTGGTTTACCCAGTGCTCTAGGCATAACTTTACAGGACAAACCTTCTACTAGGGCAGAGAATGCCAGCCCCTAGGAGGGGTTTGAACTACTAAGGAACTACAGAACCACGTATACGTAACATCTTATAGTAAGTATCACCTGTTCCTATCAGAGGGCTTTGCGGTGGGATCCATCTAGAAAAAATGCTGCAAACACAACCCAATAAGCACGCTGTTGTTATTGTAGTTAAATGACGTCAATCAGTTCTGACTCATAATGACTTTGTATAGGGGTTCCAAGAAGTGGCTGCTGGGTTTGAACTGTGGATCTTGTGGTTAGCAGTCCAGTGCTTAGCCTACAATATCACACCACTATTCCCCCAATAAGCCTTACCCCTCCTGAACTGACTTCTTTAAAGTGTTCAAGGGCAAAGATGTCAGTATGAGGACTAAGGTGCATCTGACCCAAGCCATGGCATTTTTAATAACCTCATATGCATGTGAAAGGTAGACAATGAATCAAGAAGACCATAGTAAAATTGTTATATTTAAGCTATGATGTTGGAGAATGGTAAAAGCACCATAGATTGCCAAAAGAACAAACCAATCTGTGTTCAAAGTACAGCCAGAATGCTCCTTGGAAGCCAGGATGGCCAGACTTTGTCTCTCATTCTTCAGACATACTATCAGGAGAAACCAGTCCCTGGAGAAGGATATCATGCTTGGTAAAGTGGAGGGTCAGAAAAAGAGAGGAAGACCCCCAACGAGATGGATTGGCACAGTGGCAGCAGCAATGGGCTCAAATGTAGTAACAATTGTGAGGTTGGCACAAGACAGTGCAGAGTTTTGTTGTGTATAGGGTTGCTGTGAGTTGGTACAAACTAGATGGCACCTACCAACTGTAACAATTCCTAAACAGACCATTTCTTGGAAAACCCCTCCTATCCCTAGGAATAAACATGATGCTCTTTCCCTACCCAAAGCATTTTAAGCCCCAGCAAAGCCTTTGTTTGGGGGTTAAGTGTTGCAGGCCTCTCTTTTTTATAATAAACCTTTGTGTGTATGGAAACTCTGCCTCACCTGACAGAGTTAATCAGTAGAAGGCAAGCCCACCTTCAGGGTGGAGATGCCATAGCACTCCAGGTAACAAGGGACACACCTAAAGTGACAGGTTGGGGCAAGTAAGGAGGTACAGTTAGAGGGATGAGAGTGTGAGGTCCTGAAAGCTGAGAAGGAAATGCTTCTCAGAGGGAGGGATCAGCTGTACCAAATGCTGCCGCTGGCTCAAGGAGTGTGTGGACCAGGATCGCCCACTGTCTTACATTTTAATAGCTTCATGTCCAGAGAGCAATTCCTGTGGTGTCATGTGAGACAGGAAAACCCACTATTGAACTGAGTCAGATAAAGGGGGTCCTGGTAGCATAGTGGTTACGAATTGGGCTGCAAACCTCACAGTCAGCAGTTCGAAACTACCAGCTGTTCCGTGGGAAAAAGATGAGGCTTTCTGCTCCATTAAAGATTTACAGCCTCAGAAACCCTGTATGGGGTCGCTATGAGTTGGAACTGACTCCATGGCACCTCACAAGTCTTACCAGAAGACTGGACTGGACCCCCACCCCTGCCAAGATTTTGCTTCAATGATGGGGAACAAGGTGTCAGGGAGCAAGTCAGAGCCTTGGGGAGCTAGTTGCCTAAATTAGCATAACCCTTGTGGCTTTCTGCATCTACTTGTTTCTCAGACAGCAAATAATCTGAAAAAACATGTTTATTGGGAAAAAAACAACAATCTGTACAATTCAAAGTCGTCTAGTCTCAAGGGACTCTCCTTCCCTTCGCAGCTGGCTCCTTGGGGACCTGGGAAACAACCTGGAAGGGGACCAAGACTTGGTCCTCCACTTGGTCCAGCAAGTAGGATAATCTGGCATCCACTTTCCTGGAAAAAACCGGGGTAGAACAGAGGCTCAGGGTTTTTTTTGTGCTCAGGATTGGGTTCTGGAACTGTGGGTGGAGTTTCCCAGACTAGAAAAGGTTTCAGGAGGATGTGAATCCTGGTAAAGGGTCACCTTTTCTGCCGCCGCAGATCCAACCGTTGAGTCCTTAGCACCTGTAGCACAGGGTCGTCCTGAAACTCGCTGCCATCCGAGTCTGGTGATAAAAGAAATAACTCTAGGGGGGTAGGACAAGAAGGGACAAAGACTTGGGTACAGGCCACCCATGCACACACACCAGGATCACCTTCAGCGGCTTCCAGGAGCTGGAGAGCTTGGGCGAGCAGGTCCACCGAGGGGGTGTGGTCTGTGGCGGGCGGGGCCTTGGGCATAGTCTCGAAAGGCTCCACCTCCAGTGCAGGGGGCGGGGTCCTAGCAGGCGGATCCCTGGTACAAGCCGAGGGCGTGGCTTTACCCTTCGTCTGCTCCGACTCTGCAGCGCCGGCGCCGGCAGGGGCGCCAGTTTTCCTAGGCTTGGTCTTACACCGACCGTAACGGGTCTCAGCTTGTGTAAACTGTGTTTCAGAGGGAAGGGGCTTGTCCTCCAAGTGATGGGACGGGACCTTAACCTTCAGACAGTCAGCCTCCGTTGGAGGTGGGCTCTCCAAGCGAGGGGGTGTGTCCTCCAAATTGTCTGGGAACAGCCGAGCTGTCACTACCTGACCTAGAGCGCCTCTGAGCTGAGGGCCAGGTGCTTGGCTTGTTGCCTTGACTTGCCCAGCAGGTTCTTGGCATGGGGTTCTGCCCCTCTGAGGCTTAGGGTCCTGCCTCTTGGGCTGGGCAGGGCTGGCGGAGGCAGAGGTGGGTTGATCTTGGGGGGTTGCAGAGGGTGGGAGGGTAGAAGGCAGTGAGGCAGGAGGAACAGCTGTGAGAGCTACCCAGGGGTTAGGCTGTGGGGCCCAGAAGAACCCGTGGGGGCTAGGGCCCCAGACGATGTGTGAGGCGGGCCCCAGAGGCATAGGAGGTCTTGGCACACAGAATGCCTCAGGGGGAGCAGGACCAGGCTGGGCCACACTGTCCCACAGAGGGACACAGTTAGGCTGGGTCCTCAGGGGATCGAGGGTCTCTGCAGGGGCAGGAGTGGTCTGTAGATACATGGGAACAGGGACCTGAGAGAGAGAGAAGGTTTTTGTTGTTGTTAAGTGCTGTTGAGTCGATTCCGACCCATAGCCATCCTGTATAGGGTTTCTAAGGAGCAGCTGGTGAGCTTGAACCACCGACCTTGCAGTTCAAACAACTTTGTAGTCTGACGCGTTAGCCCACAGGGCCACACCAGGACTCTGGGCTGTTACTTCCCCACATTTCTCCTCAGGCTCTTCCCCCAGCTCTCTCAGGCTCCTCCTGTCCCCATCTTACCGGAGGAGTGGTGACGCCAGGGGTCGTGGACCGCACCCAGGGTCCATCACCCTTGCCTCCTCGAGCTTGCTCAAGCTTCCTCCGCTGTCGCCATTGGTACAGAATATCATCCTCTGGCCGCAGGGGTGCTCTTGAGGAAACTCGAGCCGGAATTGGGGTGGGGGCTGATGCCGGGGTTGCTGTGGGGACACAGAGGGGAGAAAGGATGAGGCATCGGCAGAACTGGGGTGCTGAGCAACCCACCAGCCTCCACACCCTTCCACCAATTTCTTCCGATAATACTTCAACTTCTCCCTGGGGAAGGAACTAGAAGAGGGGGCACAGCCAGAGGAGAGCCCCCATGGGCTGAGCCTTACTGTGTGTCAGGCATTGTTCTGGATGTTCATGTTACAACTGTTGTTGTTGTGTGCCGTGGAGTCAGTTCCGACTCATAGCAACCCTGTTCAGAGTTTCCGAGGCTGTACATCTTTACATGAGCAGAAAGCCTCATCTTTCTCCCGTGGAACAGCTGGTGGTTTCGAACTGCTGACCTTGAGGTTCACAGCCTGATTCATAACCACTATAGGTTACAATGGAGAATAAAATACATCCTCCAGAACTTGTCTCTTCTCTAGCCCCTCCTCAATGGCCCCAGCCTGGTCTAGCCACTCACCAACCTGGCCTCTTTATTCTCTCTGTCCCTCCAGTCTGGTCCCCACAGGCAGCTAAGGGAGCTTGTGGACCTCTGAGTCCGATCAGGGTTCTGACTCAGGCGAAACGGAAAAGGGCTTGGACCTCTGTGACGTCCTCTGCCTGGAATGCTCTTGCCTTATGTGTCTGTCCTTCAGGGACCAGCTCAAATCTCAATCTCTTAGTGAAACCTCTGGCTTGTTGTTAAGTATCATTGAGTCGGTTCTGACTTATAGTGCCCCTGTGTAGGGTTTCTGAGACTTACACATCTTTCTCCTGTGGAGTGACTGGTGGGTTCAAACAGCTGACCTTGTGGTTCACCATGCAGTGCTTACCCTGTAGTCACAGGACTCTCTGACCTCTGACTCTTCTATTCAAAGCTGCAACAGCCCCTAGCAAAGATTTTCAGCCTCTGGAACCCTATACAGGATTGTTGTAAGTCGGAAGGCGCACAGTGGCTCTGTAGGACACATACTGGACCGTGAACCTCAAGGTGAGCAGTTTGAGGACACCACTGTTCCACAGGAGAAAAATGAGACTTTCTGCTCCTGCAAATATTTACAGCTTTGAAAATGCTATATAGGGTCACTATGAGTCGGAACCAACTTAACGACACTTAACAACAACATTCTAGTGCCCAGCCCTGTGCTGGGGGCACAATAGTGACTAAGACAGTCCTGGTCCCTGTCCTCAGTCCAGTGAGACAAACAGACCGATTCCCACTGTCCAGTCATCATCAGTAAGGCCACCCTTTCCTCTCTGCATTCTACCAGCGAATGCGGCATGAATGAAGAAGGAACTATCCCAGACCTCTCCCTCCCCGCTGTGGTGGTGGTGCACCAATTCATAGCGACCTTGTATAGCATTCTGAGAGTGGTTGGTGGGTTTGAACTGCAGACTTTTCAGTTAGCAGTCCAGTGTTTATCCTACAGTGTCACACCAAGGGCCCTTCCTTCACCCTAAATATAGATTATAAATAGCCTTAGGTTCTTTAGATCAGTTTGCTGGTGAATCAGGTGGGGTGCTGAATTTACAAAACACTTCCATTTCTTAAAACTTGTGTTCAGAATAGCAGATGGTGGACTTGTCAAACTAATGTTAGTTGTTGCCATAGTTGCTCCAAATGTACAAGAGGGCTTCAAACAGCTCATGGAAGCTATCAACTCCTCTGAAAAGAATGACTTTAGATGCTTCTGGATAAAGTGGGAGGACAGTGTGGAACAAAATTCAAAATTATAAAAAAGACCAGACTTACTGGTCAGATAGACACTGGTGGGACCCCCGAGACAATGGCCCCGAGTGACCCTCCACACATCTGGGACTGAACTCGCCCCCAGGGTTAACTTTTCAGTCAAACAACATCAGGTTTATCGGGGAACAAGAACACTAGTGAGGTACGCACACCTTAGAACAATGAACCTTTTGAGATCAGACAGGCAGCATGATCCAAGGGCTAAGTTCAGTAGGGTCAGGAAAGGAGGAAAGGAAGTGGGTAACACAGGGAGAAAGTGGAGTATGTGATGTTACCTTGAGGGGATTGTAAGCAATGCAATGAATTAAGTAAAAATGTGCATGGACTTTTGAATGGAAAACTGATCATCTGTTCTGTTTACCTTCACTCAATCCACAGTAAAAAGTTCATGGAAAAATAGAATTTTTCCACAAATATTTTCCTCTTATTTATTAACTCATTTAGTCCTCATTACACCCATGGGGAGAAGTATAAGTATTACCTCTGTTTTACAGTCAGAGAGGTCCAAGGTTAAACAGTTGGTAAGTGGCATTACTCTTGGATTTGCATCCAGGCTTCCCTGGTTCCTTGCCTCCCGGTACTCACCAGGCGTGTTGGGACCAGGGTCCTTGCTGGAGTCAGGGATGGAAGTCACAGAGAAGGGTGAGAGGCCATCTGAGCTGGAGGGGAAGGAGGAGCTTCTAGCAGCACTAAGGCTGGGGCTGGAGATGGAGGCCTTGCTGCAGGGAGAAGGCAGAAATGAGGCAACAGAGCTCCCAGAGGCAGTGGGCGGGGCTAGGAGAGGATGCCAGAGGTGGGGGAGGCACCTTTGTTTGAGCAGCCTAGCAGCTCTGCTCTGCAGACTCAGGGTCTCCAGGTCCAGCAGGGGCGAGTCCCATGTGTTGAGGTTCTGTGGGGTAAGAGGACTCAGAGGCCAGTCCTAGCTCCCGAGGCTGCTGGGAAAGGGCGTCTACACAGTGCCTGGCATGCCAGTCTGCATCCCACCTGGTACCCTCATATCTGGTCTCAATGGACCTGCCAGTTTAGTATCTGGAAAGACTGACTACATTTTCATCTGTGAATCCACACTCTTCATGTGCAGTTACTCCTGTTTGAGGAGAATGAACCCTATCTCAGCCACAATTCTACCCTCCTGGTTCCTCTGATTAATCTCTGCCCTCAAGAATGAGCCAATGACACCCATTGGCCTTGAGATTAGAGCAAGAAGAGGAAGGGCTGGCTAGTCTGAAGTTTAAAAAGTTGTGTGAACTCCTGGGCCCATGGGCACTGACCTAGCCCCTGGGACAAGGGCTAAGAATAAAGGAGAAAGCTGGTGTGAAATGCAAAGAGGTGTGCGTGAACTCCCAAACTTCCAGTTGGTACCCATTTGACCTAGCTAGGATGGCTAGGGCTAAACTGACCAGAATTCAATTAGATGAAGACAAAGATGTACAATACTGTGAGCAAGTATAAATTGCTACATTTTCATGAATCAGACTTTTGCTCAAAATTCCAACTGGAATGGAAGATTCTTCATATCAATGAACATGCTTGTCTCATCAGTGGACTGGGTTGATTGTTGTTATTGTTAAGTGCCGTCAATTCAGTTCCGACTCATAACGACCCCATATACGGTTCCCAAGGAGTGGCTGGTGGGTTTGCCAACCTTGTAGTTAGCAGTCCAATGCTTATCCAACAATGCCAGCAATTTAGATATTAGCTATCAAAAAAAGGGGGTGGGTGGATATAAAGGCATGAAGTGGCCAGCTTACAAGCTTTCATGGGTGTGCCTAGTTTCAGAATGAGAAGGGAAAGATAGAATTCCCACTGAATAGTTTTCCTCTTTTCCATATGGATCTGGTGAAAGGGGGTGCGGTATGATGCTGAAAGGATTTTATGATTCAACTGTAAGTAATTGTTAGCAGGATTCATTGTGATTGTCAAAACTGAAATTGTAGAAGATGTGTTACTAAAAGAGGGGAATAGTTAATATTTCGTTTCAGGAACAGACGACCCCAGTACCATCAAGAAGGAAGAACAAGAGTGGAAAGTGGGATCCTACCATAGAGAAGTGGAGACAGCAGAGACGGTGGCAGAAGTGGTGGCATGGAGAGACAGAGCAGCTGTGGGCTCTAGGCCCATGGACTGAGTAAGGCTGTGTGCCTGCAGGCAGGAGGCTGGCTTGCAAAATGTGCCCTTTGAACATTTAAATGAATATGGCAGTGTAGTGGTCATGAATCGGGCTGCGAACCGCAAGGTCAGCAGTTTGAAACTACCAGTTGTTCCACGGGAGAAAGATGAGGCTTTCTGCTCCCGTAAAGATTTACAGCCTTGGAAACCCTGTACAGGGTCGCTATGAGTCAGTTCCGACTCCACAGCACATAAGCACCAACTACCATAATTTAAAGAAAGAATGAGCCAATCAGAGTGAGACCTGGGGCTTTGGATGGAGCTACTGGAAAAATCTCTTCTTTCAACTGGAGTAGCTAAGGTAGTACATGAAAGTCCAGAGCCAGTGGCGAACACTTTGGTTACTATAATGGGAAAGTTTGTTTGAGATTGAGCCCAAGAAAGAGGAACACAGAGCTGAGAAAGTCAGGTTCCTGCCAACATTGTTCTAACATTGTTCTAACACAGATCAAACTATGCCCCAAAGTATCATTTTTACATTTCTCACTTACATTAGCCAACAATTTCTCCTTTTTGTTTAAGCTTCCTTGAGTTGGGGATGGGCTCTAATTCTATCCTCACACTGATGCTGTCAGTTCAGCCAGATAAGAGAGGGAGCGGAGGGAGATGTCACCTGCTCTCTTTCCTGAAGAAGGCCCATAGTCCGGGATGTGCTGGACACTGTAGCAGGAATTGGGATTGTTGTGTTGGGTTTTCTTTCTTGCTTATTGGTCCCTGCTGAGAAGCTTCTAGTGAGTTAGGAGGCCTAGGAGGAGTGGCTGCTAGGGGTGTGAATCAGCGAAGATTTGAGGTCAGCGGGTAGACGCCACCAAGGCAGGTACCTGATGTGAGTTGGTTGCTGGGATCTGGAGATTCAGGTCTCAGCCACCAAAATTCAGCTGGGGTTAGGCCTGCAGGCTGCCGTTGCTCTCGACTTGTCGGCTGAGCCTGACGGAACCGGTTTATGTACCTATGAGCATCAGGGGAAGGGGAGAGGAGTGGGGTGAGGAGAGCGAAATCGTCACCATCCCAGCCAATGTCTACCAAGTTTCATGGCTGTTCTTCTATAGACTACATTTCCCAGGTGCCCTTTCAGTCTGTGGTCAGATATAAGAAGACATAGTTCTGGAAAGTGGATGTAGCTGGGAGTCATTTTGGCTCATGAAAGTAAGGGGACAGCCTTGGGATGGGAGAATAGATAGAAGGAGACTGTGTCCCTCAGTCCTCACCTAGGGGCTGCCGTATCAGCCCTGGTTGTTTGTGTCTGAGCTCTTAAGGGAGAGAGAAATTTTAACTCGTTTGTGTCACAATTAATTTGAGACTCTTTTGTTACAGCAACTGAACTTGTACCCTACAAATCCAAGTGGCTGCTAACGATAATAGATGCTTTGTTGTTGCTGTTAAGTGCCGTCGACTAGGTACCGACTCATAGCGACCCTGTATATGGTTTCCAAGGAGTGACTGGTGAGTTTGAACCTCCGACCTTGTGGTCATTATGTGCCCTGGAGTCAATCCCGACTCACAGTGACCCTGTAGAAGGTTTCCGAGGCTGTGAATATTTACAGGAGCAGAAAACCTCATCTTTCTCCTGTGGAGCAGCTGGTAGACTTGAACTGCTAACTTTGCAGGTAGCAGTTCAAATCTGTTAAGTGCCGTCGAGTTGGTTCCAACTCATAGCGACCCTGTCTAAGGTTCCCAAGGAGTAGCTGGTGGGTTTGAACTGCCGACCTTGTGGTTCGCAGTCCAGTGCTGATCCTACAGTGCCACATCAGGAGTCCTCAGAGCTCCTCAGTATTTTTTAATTTACAGATGAAGATACTGAAGCCCAAGTTCACACAGATAGCAGGGTAGGGGAGCTAGGATTTGAACCCTGGAAGTCTAGCACAGGAGCCCAACCTCTTAATCAATCATACACACGAAGTGTCTGGTCTTAAAATAGTGCAGCAAAAAGAGCGCTAACCAAGAAGATGATTATGGGATGCCTGTCATCCTCCAACCCAAACTTTCCTTCTCCCCCAGGGCTGCTTGTACTTACTTTGCCATTACTGAATCCCTGCTATCAATAGGGGTAAATGGTGGGGAAATCCCCATCTGTTCCTTAGAGGAGTTGGCTGAAGAAGGGGTCCCTGAGCTGCATGGCCAGGACTCCTCAGACAGCTCCAGGGAGTTAGAGGCTGTGGCTTGGGGACTGCAGGGGTCCTGTATGTCTGGTAATAGGATACACTCAAGGTCTAAGAAATGGGAGGAGAGAAGAAAAAGTGAAGTCTGAGGGCGTCATTCCTATAGGAGAATGAATACACACACATGAAGTCTCAATTCAGAGGGAAAAAAACACATCTTACAATGGTAAGAGGGTCACTGGGTAATGAAGTGGATTACGAGCTCAGCTGCTAACCTCATGGTCAGCAGTTTGAATCTACCAGCCATCCCATGCTAGAAAGATGAGGCTTTCTGCTCCCGTAGATTTAAAGACACAAAAACCCAATATAGGGTCGCTAGGAGTTGGAACTGATTTGATGATACTTAATAACAACAATATTTAATTTAGACTTCTGGTGTGGCGCTATAGGCTCAGCACTGGACTGTAAACTACAAGGTCGGCAGTTCAAACCCACTAGCTGCTCCTCCCAAATCCTATACAGGGTCACTATGAGTTGGAACCGACTTGATGGCCCTTAATAACAACAGCAGCAATGGCAACAACCCAAAGTGAGGATGGCAGGCATCCCATAATAATCATCACAGTTATCTGTGATAGGGACCCTGGGCAGGGCCACGGGCAGGGAAGACGGACTGGCTCTTAACCTCTTACCTCCATCTGTTATCCCATGTCTTCCTTCCATCTCTTACTTTCTTCCTACTGGATTGGCACACAGCACTTTCTGTGGGGTGTCCTTACCTTGGGCCTCGGGTTTGGCTTTGGGATGGCCAGTACTTGCTCTGACCCAGGAGACCATCACCAAAGGTGCTGTCTTGAATGGAGAAAACTGGCAGGCTGCAAAGGGAGAGTAGGGTTGGAGGCGCTGGTGGTCTACCAAGCGGGGGTGGGAAAGCTTGGTCGCTGCAATCATAGGAGGAGGGGCATAGGATCAGATTACAATTTCCATGGGTCCCTGGCAGAATTATAATTCCCATAAGGCACCACTGCACATTCAAAATAAAGACAAAATACTGAAGGTACAATTCCCATAGCCCTAAATGCTAGCCCTTGGCTCTCAACCCTGGATGGAGTCTGCTGTTGTTATAAACCAAGGAGAGGATTCCAACTCACAGTGACCTTATATGGCAGTGTTATTCAGACTGTAATGGTGGCAAAGCTGCTAACCAAGATGTGGGCCACTCACACCATTTTGCAGGAGAAAGATCTGCTTCAGTTGAAGATTTACAGCCTTGGAAATCTTAAGGGGCAGTCCCACTCTGCCTTATGAGTTGGAATGCATTCGACAACAATGGATTTGATTTTTGGAATCTTTACAGTAGCAGATCAAGGAGCTCTGGTAGGGCAGTAGTTGTGAGTCGGGCAGCTAATCTCACTCACAGTCAGCAGTTCGAAACTACCAGCTGTTCCCTGGGAGAAAGATGAGGCTTTCTGCTCCCATAAAGATTTACAGCCTCGGAAACCCTGTACAGAGTCACTATGAGTTGAAACCGACTCCATGGCACATAATCACCACCACCACAGAACCAGATCACCAGAGCATAGCAGCTGAGCGTTTACCCATTATACCACCACCAATCCTTCCCGATGTAGTCCAGAAAGGACTTTTTAAAAACACAGATGCGTGAACTCCACTAAAATCAGAATATTTGGAAGGGAGGGCTACGTATCCATACATTTTTGTAGATTCCCAGGTGATTTTACATACAGCCCTTGTTGAGAACCTGTTTGAACACTGTTATTGTTAAATGCTGTTGAATCAGTTTCAACTCATAAAGCCACCCAGTTTGACCATATCCATTACAATTCTCACAAGACTTTGGGGCACCATCGAAGGACAAAAATATTGATGGATTATAATTCCCATAAAGAGTCCTAGTAGCACAGTGGTTAAGTGCTCACCTGCTAACGGAAAGTTCTGCAGTTTGGACCCATAAGTTGCTCCCCAGCAAAAAGGAGTATCTCATTCCATAAAGATAACAGTTTAGAAATCCTGTAGGGCAGTTCTACTTTGCCCTAGATTACTCTGAATGGACTCAGGCAAGGGCTTTTGGGCAATCCTCAATAGTCACTAACTCCGGCTTAAGCGAGAAAATTCAAAGACACCGTCACCTATGGGAGTCTGGGGCAATTCCAAGTGAAAGAAACCTGATTTTACTGGATGCCCTTTGACACCCTTAGAGGAAAGAAGCACTTGAAGTCACTTACAGAACGGAACGCTTATGAGAACCCCGGGAAGATGATATCTACGGCTAGTGCGGCCAAAGGCCACAGAGCATCTTGGGAATTGGGTCCTTTGCGGTTGAGCCCGAGAGACTCGCGACCCTGACGAATCTGCCTCCAGGCTGTGTCGTTCTCACTGTTTGGTCCACCCCAGGTCTCTTACGGTTCCTAGGGAAAGATCAGTCTCACCTGCGGCCACTACTGCGCTTCCGCCCGCTCAGCTCCTTCGACCCGCTGACACCGCGCGTCTTTGTAGCTTAGCAATCAGCCCCTCCCCTTTCTGGGAGTACCCGAGCGGAAAGAGCGGCCTCCCAGGCTACCAATGACCAAAGATAATAGGGAAATGGTAAAAATGATCTGACTCATGATTGGCTACAAGGGTTGTCTACTTGAGAGGTCATGTTTTATTGGCGAATCTGTCTCATACAACAGTAATTGGCAAATTTGTGCACCAATGAAAAGGATCTGAGGCTGGGCTGGCGGTTAGGAGGGATCCAAAGCACACTTTTCACAATCCTGCTCTCCCACCGCTTACCTCTTGCTGCAGAAGTCTCTTCTTGATTTCAGTCTAACTACAGCTCTTCCGATTGTGAGGGCAATCAAAGAGCCTGTCTCGTCCCTAACCGCCGTCCCTCCGTCAGTTGGACCTGCCAGTCAGTCCTGCCGGTCATCTAACCATTTCCCTCTTGCTGCAGAAGCAGCTGACTGCCCCAGGCGCCAGACCTGGGCTCCCGGCCAAAGTGGGTGGGTGGTGGGATCAAAAGGAGCTATTTCGGGACCGGTGCAGGGCCCCTGAGGGGCCAACCTAGACTGTTGGAACCCACGCCCCCTGGCTACTGTTCATTTGGCAGACCCCGCTGCCCTGCGCACCCGAGGCTGAGTCAGAGAGGTAGAGTTAGGCCCAGGCCTGCTGCAGGGTTGAGTCAGGGCCCGGTTTAGGATGGAAGTACTGTCTGTTCTGTGTCCTCTTGACAGCCTGGCCTGGCTACCACATTCTCAGTACCCTGGAATCTGCTCCCAACCCGTCATATACGTCATCCCCCAGAGCTGTCTACGGGACCCGGACTGGCTTAAAGGGACTGAGTGCTCTGCTTTAGGATTTTCGAACCCTGGGTCTCCATCGCTGCATCGTGCTCCCCTCTTTGGCAAGGCTCCGCCTCCCCTTCTTAATTTCTCCTTCGGAAAATTGGGGCTCTTAATGATAGTCTAGTAGGCATCCAGCAGGCGCTTAATAAATGGCCAATTGTTGAGGTTTCTAAATAAGGCTCTCTTAATGGCCAGATCTGGCCATGGTCCCAGTGTCCCTGGGCGGCCCGTGAAGGGCGGGCACAGGGGCCAGCTATAAGACGACGACCGCTCACTCAGGGGCACTGCGAAGTCCAGGGCAGCGGCAGCGAGCAGGATGGAGATCCCAGTGCCTGTACAGCCGTCTTGGCTGCGTCGTGCTTCGGCCCCGCTGCCGGGGTTTTCGGCGCCGGGTCGCCTCTTTGACCAGCGCTTCGGCGAGGGACTGCTGGAGGCTGAATTGGCTGGGCTCTGCCCCTCTGCGCTCGCCCCTTACTACCTGCGGGCACCCAGCGTGGCGCTGCCCGTCGCCCAGGTGCCAGTCTTGGGGAAGGGGTAGTAATCCGGTCATTTTTAAGGCGAGGGGTCCCGGGTGAGGGAATGCCTGGTGACTTTAAGTAGGGTGAAGAGGTCCGGTCAATCAGGGAAGTGGGCGGGCTGGGTTACTGAAAGGGGTCCTTGTAGTTTTGAGAGGACTCATTAACTTCGAGGGTCCAGTGGGGTGTCTCTCTCTCAGAGCTCACCAGTTAGGATACTGGTGGTAACTCTGAGGGAAATTTTGGTGACTGAAAAGAACTCGTGTGATCCAGGGAATCTGGGAAGAGCCTAGTCATTCTGACGGATGTGGGGGGGTCCCTCCAGTAATTCCCAAGGGGGCGGGATGTTCTGTTACTCTGGGGGGTCGGGGAAAGTTCAGAGGGGCGTGATCATGTGGTAATCTGATGTTTCCTGGAGAGGGAAAAGGGATCCTGTGACTTGTGGGAGGGAAGTTTGGCCATGCTGAGACGTGAAGGTGGAGCACCAGTCACTGTGGAGAGTATGAGAGGTCCCTTGACTCGCAGGGGAGGGTAGAAAGACTCAAGAATTGGGGGGGGGAAGGGGCGGAGAGGCGATTTTTGGAGGATGGACTAGGTAACTCAGATTGTGACGATTTGGGGAAGGGGGAATAAGAGGAGTTACGGACTCCTGGTGTGGCTCTGTAGTCTAAGCATTGGACTGCTAACCACAAGATCGGCACTTCAAATCCACCAGCTGCTCCTCGGAAATCTTATACAGGGTCACTAGGAATCGGAATAATCTCCACGACACCTAACAACAACAACACTGTGATTAAAGTATTAGTAACACGAACTCCTGGTGCGGCGCTGTAGTTGCACTGGACTACTGCTAACCCCAAGGTCTAAGGTTCAAACCCACCAGTCTTTCCTTGGAAATTCTGAACTGGGTCACTATGAGTTGAAAATGACTCGATGGCACTTAACAACTCTGAGAGAGCCAGGTCTAGGGTACTGAAGAGGGTGGAGGTCCCTGATCTTGCAGGGGAAGAGAATCTCATTACTCTGGGTAAAAGGAGAAATCCCAGAGATTACAGAGCTAGTGCGGGACAACGCCGTAGCCAATAGGTTCTGGGAACTTCGATCCACTCAATGACTATCCCCTCCTCCCACACGGCCCGTGCCCAGGTGCCGAAGGACCCCGGCCAGTTCTCTGTGCTGCTGGACGTGAAGCACTTCGCGCCGGAAGAAATCGCTGTCAAGGTTGTGGGAGACCACGTGGAAGTGCATGCGCACCACCAGGAGCGCCCGGTGAGCTCGCTGACGGGGGCGGAGCCAGGCCGCGCCCACTCTGACGCAGGCTGGAGCTGGGGCTCTTAGGAGGAAGGGGCAGGCCGCTGACACTTCTTGTCCCTCCAGGATGAGCACGGCTACATCGCACGTGAGTTTCACCGTCGCTACCTCTTGCCCCCTGGCGTGGATCCCGCCGCCGTGACGTCCGCGCTGTCTCCCGAAGGTGTTCTGTCCATCCAGGCCGCACCGGCACCGGCTCAGGCTTCGCTGCCATCACCAACTGCCGCTAAGTAGGGCTTTGGGAATGCCTGAAAACCGGGAGCCTCCCTGGGCCCCCCTTTTATAAGCCGACCTGACTCCGCCCAGCCAAATGTCCACGGCTCGCCAAGACAAGACGCACGTCCCATGCAGGACCATGCCCCACCCCTCCAGCTTAGACCTAGCTGTGTCACCCTTCTTAGACCCTTCCCCCAACAGCCCCCTCCCCTCCACCTCATTGACCCCTTTCTTGGCAGATACTATCCCGACAAGATCCCTACAGATTTCAAGGAAGGCACTCCTACACCACCACTAACAATCCCAGGTTATGTCAGACAGCCCTAACCCCAGAAGAGCCTGGCATAACCCCGTTTCCTCCCATAGCTATCCCAGATGGCAGACCCCCCCACCCCAGACCAAGCAGGGCTGGTCTCCAAAACTCTGGATCTTCTCACTCCAATCAGACACTCCACTCTCTACAGACACATCTGACTTGAAAGCTTCAGGCTTGTAAATGACCTTTGGGCATATCCAGGCCAACCAAAGCCTCCAACCTCAAATTGTACAGACGTTGCCCATTCTCTCCAGATTGCACAGGGGTCCCAACCCACTGTCCCAGCTCTAACCAGAACGTCCCTTTACCGGCTTCTTCCTGACCCTCGGCCTCCAGCCAGATGTCCTAGGCAATCTACCATCCACACTCCTTCCCCCTTACCTTCCAGGATCAAGCAGGCACGCCCATTCATTCCCCACAAGCTTTCTCCCTCCTTGACCTATTCCTGGCCCGGCACTCCTCCCCGATCCAATAAACGCTGAAGCTTTACCAGCTGCCTTATATCTGGACCATGAGGGATGGGCTGGTGCAAGCAGAGGCAAGGGCAAAGGGGGCCTTTTTATTGGGGTGGGGAGACAGGGAAACATCACTGTCGGTCATACATCTCCCGTAGGATCTTCATGCTTTCTGCATAACGGAGCTGGTTCCGATGAGATGCCTCCTTCCACCTGGGGTCGGATGGGGAATAAAGGAAGGGCTCAGCGCTTGGGGCAGAGACCATAGCGGGCAGGCAGGTTAGGGAAATCTCACCTCTGGCGAATACGTTTCCAGCGCTGCATGTTGCGGTAGATGAGTGTGGAGGGTGAGGGCTCAGGCTCGGAGGGCTGTGTGAACAAGAGAGGCCAGGCTGGGTGGCCATGCCCCAAGATCCATGATGTGTGCCCCCGCAGCCCAAGGCCAACCTTGCATTCCCACCTCATCATCAGGAGAACCCTGAGTCTCAGGTTGCAGTGGGGATGGAATTCGGGATCTGCAAGCATCTCCAGATGGTCCAGGGGCCATGGGTGGAGGCAACTTATACACATCACAACTCTTGCTGTTGGTAACCTCTGACCCCTGAGAACAAAAGGATCCCATCCCCACCCAAGAGAGTCAGAGCAGCGGGCTGGGAGCATACACTCTAGTCTTGCCTTTCCCAGTGACAAGAGACATAAGAATCTGAGGATCTAAAGGGCATCACATCTCTAACACCCGGGGGCCTCCTTCCATCACTCTCCAGGCCAGGAGGCCATGTCTACCTGCACCGAAAAATTCTTTTCCATCCTTGCCAGTTCAAAGGGTCATGTCTATCTGTCTGTGTGATCCCCTATCATATCTGTTTAAGAAATCCTTTTATTACTCCCTAAGGCATTTCAAAACTACCAGCTGTTCCACAGGAGAAAGATGAGGCTTTCTGCTCCCATAAAGATTTACAGCCTTGGAAACCCTGTGCAGGGTCATTATGAGTTGGAACTGACTCCACGGTACTTAACAACAAGGCAGTTCAAAACTACCAGCTGTTCTGTGAGAGAAAGATGAGGCTTTCTGCTCCCGTAAAGATTTACGGCCTCAGAAACCCCTGTACAGGGTCACTATGAGTCAGAACCGACCACTCCACGGCACATAACCACCACCACCAAGGCCAGATGAGCACTTCTGTCTGCCAGGAGGACTCATGTCTAGCCTAGCTCTTGGGGACTCCTAATTTAGGAGTTGTATCCAAACCTGTGAATTCCTCCCAAGTCAGGTGGCCAGGTCTATCTGTCCTAGGGGTCTCCATCCATCCTCCTAGCCTAGGAGTTCATGTCTGTGTACCTCATCTGATTCAGGAGCCTTATCTGAGGGACAGGGGGCCCTATGCTGGGCCACTCTGCTAGATAGGGGTGAGGGGTTAATCCCTTTGCCTGCCCACCCACTGTCCTTCCTGGGTGCTGGGCTGGGGCCACCCATCCCACCTCCTCATCCTCAGGTAGTGGGGGTAGTGGTGAGGTGGGTGAACGTTCACGTTCTCGTGACGAAGGGCTGTTGCGCATCCAGGCACGGCAGATTGGGTATAGTGGTGTGTTCTCACTGAACTGGGCCAAATCCACACTCCGGTCAAACAGCTTGATCACGTATGTGTCTGGGGATGGTGGGGGTGGAGGTGTGTGAACATCCTCACATAGCCCCCTGGCCCCCTGCCCGCCTTCTCAGGCCACTTGCACACTCACTGGATCGCTGAGGCCCTCCCTCAGCCAGCCCATCGTCCATCTCCCTCCTTTTCTTCCGCCGCTGGTGAGGGAAGCGAGCAGATGGCCTGTGAGGGGACAAGGGGGAAGAGCGTCAGGATCGGGATGGAGACAGGAGACCCCTTGTCAATTGGCTGAGGACCCCATCACCTACCGTTTGCCTGTGGCTGCGATGGAGCAGTCCCTGTGAGGAGGAGAGACAGGGTATGAGCAGGCTGATCCCAGCTTGCCCAAATACGGCTCAAAACTTCTCAATGGGCATCTTGGATATACTGGGATGTGACTTGGGATGTTCACATGAATCCCACCAACCATTTGGACCTTGTGTCCGACCCAAGTCCCAGGGTATCTGGGTGTCAACCATGCGGGGATTTATGCACATAAAGGGGTCAGGACTGTGATGGGAGAAGCACAGAGCAAAAGGGGTCTGGGAAGAAGTTACCTATCACAACCCAGATCCCATAAGAAAAGCTTACTTATTGTGAGTGTCCGATGGTGTCTTCCCAGCTTCCTCATCTAGACGCTCCCTGATAGCAGAAGAGAACTGTTTGCTAAGGGTTCCAAGGCCATGAGTGGCCTCTCTACTGGGCACCTTCCTCCCCAAGCCAGCTTCTAGGGTCCCACCCAGACCCATCTAGAATCAAAGGGTTCAACCTGCCAGGTTCCTGAGCACCCTGTGACCCCATCTTGATCTGGGTTACAAACCTGTCCATGTGACTTTTCTCCAGTAGACACTGCAGAACAGCATCCAGTTGGTTCCGGGCCTTGGCCATCTCCAACTCTGAGGGAAGAAGGTACGCAGCAGGAATGAGTCCCAAGGCTCCAGGCAGATAAGTCTATGTGCATATAGAATTGTATGGCCAAGTATGCTGGAGGAGAGCTAGACACACAGACTATGACAGTGATTAGCAAGAGCTCTAGGCTTCAGGCTGTGCCTACAGGCTTTCAGTGTGGCCTGAAGTAGGATTCATCTTGTTGAAACTACCTCTGTGAGGGTCTCTAACCTGAAAGTTAAAATAAGAGGGTCAGTCAGTTACTTTCTCAGAAATTTGGAAATAGAAATATCGTATGACCCAGCAATCCCCTAAGATTTAAGAACCGTGACACGGATAGATCTACGCACACACATGTTCATCGCAGCGCTATTCACAACAGCAAAAAGATGGAAAAGCCTAAATGCCCGTCAACAGAAGAATGATTAAACAAATTTGGTGTATACATACAATGGAATACTATGCAATGTTGACTAACGAAATACCTCATAACATGGATTAATCTGGAAGATATTAATTAATAAATTAGCCAATCACAAAGGGGCAAATATTGTATGAGACCATTGTAAAAAGTTAAGGAAAGGATTCCTTGATTTAAAAAAAAAAAAAAATTCTAAGATGGTTACCAGGGGTGGGAGGGAAGAGAAAATTATTCACTGGCTAGAATTACTTACTGGCTAAATTATTCACATATTAAATGGGTAATGGGGAAGGCAATATACAACAAGAAGGAGTTGGCAAAGGAAAGATGAAGGTAGCATAAGATACAGGGAAGAATGCAAGAGTTAATGCGAATAGAGTTAATACTGTTCATTGACAGTACTAGGAGGGGACTGCAATCATTGTAATGAAATAAAGTGTAAAAGTGTATGGTTTGTTGAAGGTGGGACTGGTGATCTGCTCTGTAAACTGTCACTCAATTTACAACATAAAGAAAAAAAAGATAATGGAATTAAAAAGAAAAAAAGTATTGGTAAAAAACCACAGAAACCTTTATTAGACAAAAACATCAAAATGTGAAGCTATTGTTTCTTGACAGATTCCCCCATCGTCACTACCATAGTCTATTCTGAGGTGCTGTTTCCATCTCTGTAAGCCTTCCCCGCAAAATTCTGCAATCTGATTTACACCACGTCAAAATGAGAGTTTTGGTATCCTCAAGGGGCTCAAATCGTGTTCCTTTTAAATATTCTTTTATATTGGGGAACAAAAGTCTGAAGGGGCAAGATCAGAGATGTAGGGTGGATGGGGTAACTTTCCCAATGAAAGTCTCAAAGGGCAGCCTTTGAAATATGAGCTGGTGTTTTGTTGCAATGAAAAGAATTCCTAAGTACAACTTTCCTGGACTATTTTTTTCCTCACCGATGCAGTTTTTCATTTCCTTAAAATTTCCTCATAATAAGCCCTTGATTGTCCTAAATCCTCTGAGAAAATCGATCTAGATTACCCCTTGGGGATTCCCCCTCCCCCCAAAAAAGACACTATAATGTTCTGAGCTGAGTTCTCTGCCTTGAATTGAACTGACCCAGGCACACCTTTTCCATGCCCTCAAACAGAAGAAATAAAGAGGCAAAAATCTTGATACAGAACTGCAGGATACTGTGCTGGACTGCAAGATCAGTTTGAATTGCAAGGTCGGCAGTTCAAACTCACCATCTGCTCCTTGGAAACCCTATACAGGGTCGCTATAAGTCAGGAAAAACTCAACAGCACTTCACAACAACAACAACAATCTCAATATGGCAGGCACACAAGTTGTATCTCAAGTTATTTTTAACTTTGATGAGAATAGAGGAAGGAGGCTATCCTTGTTTCTTTATCAATGATCATAACTTTAAAAACAAAAACAACAGTTGGCTGAGACTGAAGACATTTAAGATATAGGAAGAAGCAAAATGTTTTTGAAATCCTGTTACTAAATTATGGACAGGACCTAACCAAATGCCTGTCCTACCCAAATCATTGCATGTACTTATCACATGGGCCCTCCATGAAAGTCCCCACCTAGAACAAAATGAAATGATTGAGAGTTTGAAGAAGTACTGGTGGGAACAATATTTTGAGACGGCTGAACACGCTTCCTTTCATTGCTCTATTTGTTCCCACCATCACCCATGCAAACCTTTCAAAGTTTCCCTTGGGAAATATCCATTACCTTCAGGACCTATGATTAAACAACAGGCAGATTTTATCAAACTTCTACCTTCAAATGGCTATAAGTTTGTACCAATAATGATTTGTAGATTGTCACATTGGGTAGAAGCCTTCCTACCACTGTACCACTTCAACCTTTGTAGCTAAGAAACCTGAGAATATATTGAAAGAATACTCCTTACAGATTAGAGGAGCTTTTAATAATCTGAATTCATAACTTCCAAGTTTTACCTAAATACAAGCACTGAACTGCTAACCACAAGGTCGGTGGTTCAACCCCACCAGTCACTCCTCAAAAACCCGATATATCAAAACTGACTGGACTGCACTTAACAACAACAATGTATATTGAAAAATACACCAATTAAAGGATTTCCTAAGGATGCACTGGAAAGGACCAAATCTAGTTCTCCTTACTAATGCATGTGCCAACAAAATACAGACAATTTAGACTTGCCAGCTCTTTGGAGATCTGAAAATCACTTTGAAATGCCTAAGTGACCAGAAGCAAGTGATGTCTGAAATAGACAGCTAATCCCAAAATCATGGAACAAAACTCCATGAATCTTGTTGAATTTTGTGGACTTTGCTTTATAACAAGTTAAATTTTAAGCTATTAGCCTTATTTCTGGCCTGTGGTTTTACTTCCCAATAGTTTGTTCACTATGAAAGTTCCTTTAAATATTTTTTTTTCAGCTATGCATTTGTTAAATTAACCCAATCAGTAGCTAATGCCAGTGATTTGACTAAATGTTGTAACTGTTATTCCTCTCCACAATCTGTACACAAAAATTCAGATCCACTAGTGTCTCCAATTAGGAGCTCTGGTAGCATAGTGGGTTTATGAGTTATAAGTCGTGAGTTATAACTCCAAAGTCAACAGTTGGAATTACCAGCCACTCTGTGGGAGAAAGATGAAACTTTCTGCTCCCGTAAAGATTTCCAGCCTAGGGCATGCAATACAGAGTAGCTATGAGTCAGCCAACTTCAGGACACATAACCACCACCACCACCAGTGTCTCCAATATTAAAGTATAATATTGTACCTCTAATACTGTCAACTTTAATCTCACCTTGAAGTGTGTCACACACGTTTGACTATGACCATTCCCTGGACTGCATATTCAACATCAGGTGACTTGCTTTAATCTAACCTGAATTCGAAACAATAATTGTAAGCTTTGAAGCTCCTTGGGACCCTCTGACTGTCAAAATTAATATTTAATTTCACATGACGAACCCTCTAGATTTTAGAAGGCTGCCCATGTAGAGAATTTAACAGCATACCTGAGAGGACAAAAATATATTTGTACTGTGGTGTACAACAGGTTAAAATTGGAATGATTATCCATTTGTAATAATGATTGCAAGGAAAATTGGTTTGAAAAGGTCAAATTGTTCCTTCCCCAAGCAATGCTACCAAAAGGCATGTTTTTTACCTCTTGTTGTTAAGTGCCGTTGAGTTGGTTCCGACTCATACTGACCCTGTATAGGGTTTCCAAGAAGCAGCTGGTGAGCTTGAACCACCGACCTTATAGTTCATATGGCTTTGCAGTCTGGCGCATTAACCCACAGCGCCACACCAGGACTCCTCTTAGGATATATTTTTTTATAAGGAGGATCAAGTTATCCTGCAGTAGAACTAACTCAACATGATCACGCCTCTGTCTGGGCATTAGCTCGCCTAGCTGGCTGGAATATCACAGATCAATTCATTCTGGGAACTGTAAGAGTTCCTGAAGATGTCCACACCTATAATGAAAGTGTATTCTGGACTAGTGATTTGAAAATCCTTTCCATGTACAAAAGAAAGCTTATACTTAAAAATGGACTCCTGGTACGGTGCTGTAGGATCAACACTGGACACAAAGTTGGCAGTTCAAACTCACCAGCTGCTTCCTGGAAACACGATACAGGGTCACTATGAGTCAGAACTGACTTGATGGCATTTAACAACAACAACATACTTAAAAACAATCCTGTAGCTGATAGGGCTCCTCAGAAACCCTCTACAGGGTCACTATGAGTTGGAATTGACTTGATGGCACTTAAAAACAGTACTTACCAACAATGGCTCAAATTACTGATGAAAGGCTGCCCTACAAAAGTCCTGAGAATCCTTCACCAGTTTGAAGACAACAGAATAGCTTTAGATTTGCTTTTAGCTCAACAAAGTGGAGTATGTGCCATCATCAGTACCTCCTGCTGCTCGTGGGTAAGGTACCTCTGGGTGGCAGAGCCAAAGACCTGTGAGAAGACTGCTTGGTTGCATTCAATCAACAGTCTCTATTACTGTTGCTTTTTTTTTAAAAAAAAAAAAAAGCTGTTTACCAGAGGGTACTGGCTCCTGGATGTGCTATTCCGAGCTGGAATGGTTGTCTTAATCATTATAATGATCAATATAAGTATAATCAAATGTGCCATGAAAAGTTTACCTAATATATGTAACTCGACTGCAATCTCCTTCACTGATTATGTATTCTGAAGAAATCAAATTTTCAGAATGAACTTATTTCGTACTTTGAGTTAGCCCTTTTAGAATGTTAAACTGTCCCTCTAATGTGGCCTGTTTGCAATACTAACCCCAATGAAAACCAACTCACCATGAGGGTGAGGCCTATCCACATCACAAGGTGAAGAGAAACTCCTGATATGCTTACACGTCCTAACAGAAGGATGGTGACTCCATTGTGGGTGATCAGCACCCTCTAACAGAGGCTTGACCAAAAAGTGGGTAAGTATAAGCAAATCCCCCAAAACAGCGGCATCTGGCATAAGTAAACTGGTTGACTTGGGTCCAGATTAAGGCTACATCTTATTTTTGACTCCATTTTCACCTCCACCTTACTTCTGC